AATGCACGGACTAAGGGGCTTAAAGGTGGTGGGGAAGGTGATGGAACGACCCCCTTGCCTTTTTGATTATCTCTCCCACTCAATGATGTATTATCAACCATCACTAATTAAATAGAGAAAGTTAGATAACTAAAAGAAGTAAAACATGAATACATGAATTAAAAGCAGAATGACATTAATGGAAATAGAGTTATTGAGTACGTATATGAGCATAAATAGAACAAAAATAAAAATCAAGTCTTTGTGGTTACACCATGATTATACATATCACAGTAGTCCACCCATATCACCCAAGCAATGTCATCCCTAAGAGTCTTCCACTTATTTCTTGATTCAGTTTGCTCTCTTTGGGTTTGATTTTAAGTAAAATTAACTAAATTAGTGTTATTCTCGAAGGCTACCTCACCATCAATGTCTTCATTAAATTCTTCATCGTTGAGTAGTTCATCACTTGGAACCACGGTTGTAATGAAATTATGGAGTACCGTGCATGCTAATATGATATCTACTTGTATAGGAAAAGGATAATGCGGCTTAGCACACAAAATCTTAAATCTATTCTTTAATGTGCCAAATGTAGATTCAATCTTAGACCTCAATGAAGAATATCTTAGATTAAATAATTCTCTTCTATTCTTTGGTGTTTTACCCGAATGTTCTTTCAAATGATATCGAACACCTCGGTATGGAGAGATGAAACCTGGCATGGTTGGGTACCCAGCATCACACAGATAGTATTTGCCTACAATTTTATTAAGAAAATTGTTAAGTCAAGATTGAATATTAAACTTAATAAATTTTAAGTTAAGTCTTTATTTAATTACCATCATAGACTCTCAATCCATGTGGTTATGGTCTAAACAATGCATCCTGAAGAATCCTATAATCATTTACAGACACCTCCCAACGTGCTATAACATATGTGAACAGCTTGTTTAGGGTGCAAGCTACAAGTACATTCTGTGTAACACCTTTACGGCTTTGAAAACGTGCAACAAGATTAATCGGAAGCATAGCATCAACATAAGTCCCATTTATCATTCCAATGTAATCCTATAATACGTGTATCACACATCTAAATTAAAATTTACTTACATTGATTATATATTTAAATATGCTTAAAGTGTAGATATACCTTGAAATAAGGATAGTATAACGGGTTGTTAACTATCTCTTGGGGAATGTCATTGGGGGCTTGTCTCATGTACCGTCCACGCTGGCAAATAATTTTTTATAATACCTTGTTAAAATATCTACTAACTATCTCCCCTGATCTTATAAAATGAGATCTGACAATGCGATTTTTAGATTTATGACCCAGAATGTTCAGTGCCATGATAAGTTGTTCTTCCACTGTTATATTTCTTGAGTCTTTTAGTATGCTATTGTTCCTCATTATACTCGCTAGTTTAACAAAAGCAACACTCCGCATTCTAATATAATTCACGCAACTATCATTAAAACCATTATAAATTCGCTCTATGTGCTCAATTCTAGCTCTCTCTTGTCTTTTTTTCCCTTACTTGGACCACTAAGAATTGATTTACGTTTTGCTTGCATTCTCCTTATGACAGTAATTATTATAATTAAAACGAATAGAGTAGCACATTGAACCATATTAACAACACTTTGTTCATCGGAACAATCACCATCAATATCCATCTACGATGCAAAAAATCATTATCCAATTAGAAACTAAGTCGAAATCTAACAAAATCTGAACAAATTACAAATTACAAATTACAAACATGGATTACACAAATATCTAAGCAAAAAATATTACAGTGACATGAATAGCATTTAAAAATATCAAAGATATGAACTTTTAGCTCCTAAAATGAAAAAATTACTATGACAAAATGCTACAGTAACATTTTCATACTATTTTATCATAAATCAATAGTATTTTGAAAGTAGCTCTGAAATTGTTAGTTATTTTAACTCAATTACCTTACCTATTATGTTCCTAATTATGATCAATTATATATTAATTGTAGCTATGTTAGGAAAACAGAAGCTTGAACAAAACTCTTTTTAAAAAATTTATTTACTTAAAATTGTGTATTACCTTCTCATTAATGATCAACAACATAAAAAATGGACCCAAAACAAATAAAGAAATTTCCTTTCTTAAAAAAAGGACACATTTTGACATTTCTTCCAATTGCCGGTCAACTAGCCAAGGTCTCTATCATCCTCTAGACCTCTAAAAATAACAATTATTTGCATCTATCAGCACACATCATCTCTTAAATCATCAAATTAACTACACATCCTAAGAATCTAATCACCTCTTAATCTAATCCAAAACAAACTCTTTTCTATAACACCTCGGCAAAGTTCAGACTCACTACCCCTAAATTTTCAGATAATTACTGTAAATTAAATTTTTAATAAGAAAATTAAAAAAAAACAATTTTTACCTTGATTTTTGAAGCAACAGCGTTGGCAAAGATCAGATCTAAATAGCGTGAACAAATATCAGACGCCTCTCCCCCAATTTCTTCAAATAAAGCCACAAAGAAGGTCGCAGGAGTTTATGGCGGGAGTTTATGGCAGGAGGAGAGAAAGGAGGTAACAATAGCTCACTGAAGAAATCAACGAAGAAGACCAAAATCCGACGTGGCCAGGGTTTCTGTCGATTTCACTCGGTTGGGGAAGGAATTGGGGGAGAGGGAAAAAACCTAGGTGGCGGGGATTTTTATCTCGTTTTCTCTTTTTGGCCCTAGCGAAACAAAGCTGGGAAAGAAAACCGAAGGAAATGAAAAAACAAACGTGACCCCGAAAAAAATAACGTGGAGGGCGATGTAAAAGTTTACCACGGGTTAAATAGCGAACCAAACAGCCCCTAAATCAACTACAAATTAACACGCCCAAATCACAACAGTCAGCTAGGGGTTGTTTGGTTGTTGTTGGTAAAGTTGTGTATTTATGACACATCTTGGAAAGTTGTTGTCCACCTCATCAATTTCACTTTTATACTTTTCTTTGTTTGTTTTTGATTCCATTGGAATCATAAAACACTTGTTTGGTTTGCAAAATAAAACTTTAATTGTTTGTTTGGAAAGTGTAAAAAGTGGTCCCTACTCAAATGATCATATTGGTTGGAATTATTTTTTATTATTTTTTCCTAACTTCAATGTTAGCTTTCTCCTAAAATCATGTCTATTTTTCATGAAATCACTTTACAAGCCACATCAACATATGAAATCACTTTACACTATTTTCACAACTACAAACAAACAATTAAAAGTGATGAAAGCTGACATTGGGACCCACTTTTTTACACTTTACATCCTTTTACGTGTGCTAGATTTGGATCATGGTGGGCCTCAGGTGAATAATAGCATAATCTAACCTGAGGATTGAGCGCACAAAATCTCAACAGACTCGTACAAAATCAACAATACTCCTACCTTGCAGGTGAAAAAAGTTATCAGTGTGATTTTTTTACGGAACCAATTTCATCTCTAGACGCCCAATAAATCTCAATTCCATAGAGTAATATAAATAATTAGTATATAAACACTGTCAAGCACACGGATTATTATCCGGAGGGCATCTCTCCGGCGATGACAGGAGAAGACTTGGAATCTCCGGCGTCGGATCGGCCGCCGTGGATGATTAATATAAATGACGTTCAAATGCCCGAGGGTCCTAAGGAGCCTCCCTTTGCTTGTAGAGTGCTTAAGAGGGGCCTTGGTATGATCTGTATATGCTTTAATTTTTATATTTTCATTAATTGTAGGTGATCATTGTTGATGAATGCTTAATAGGGTGTAGGAAGTTGTTTAAGGGGAAAATTGTTTACTTACCCATTGGTCATGAAGGCATGGAATAATTTCAATATCAGTTTGTGGGTTTAGTTAGTTTATGTTGCATTATTTGATAACATGAAACTATAGCCCATTTTTTGAATTTAGGATCTGCCATTACCTAGCATTGCTCATTTAACATTGAATCATCAATAAACACTTTTGTTTGGTTTCGCTGGTTGCATCTCCAAGAATTTGGGAACATGTAATGGATCTTCAAAAATCCATAATCAAAATCTTGTTTGTTTACAATTGTATCAAGGAGGTTTGCATAAAGGATAAAATCCAACTAGCATGTGTTATTTGTAAATGAAATTTGTTGATAATATCAAGAGAGGAAGAAAAGGTTTCACATATCTGACAGAAATTAGGTCAAATTTTACGGATCACATTTGGTCCCTTGAAATGCAGATCACAAATCTGGCTGAGAAACCCGAGTTCTTATCATGGAAAATGCCAAATTCATAATAGCAAACAACCTTTTGCCACTGTACTATCTTGTCCTTCCTCCTCTTGATCTTTCGCTAGCCAATACTAGTGTATAAAGAGCATGTGAGGTCCAATCTACCTTTTTTAATTTTTAACTTAAAAAGTAGTACCTTAAAACCACTCCTTAAAACCACTTTGCCATGTAACAGCAAAACACTATTCATGCTACAATATAATTATGAACCATTAAAACACTGTTCATATAATAATAATTTGTCTTTTGATAACATAACACATCACGATGAGGTCAATTGGAAATATGATAGTGAATAATCTTTCATATTCACTGTCTAAGTTTGGTAATTGGTATACTATTTTGTTAACTGGTTTGAAGATTCACTTTGTAAATGGTATAGTAAAAAAATTTGTCGTTGGATTTTTTAATAAGTAGATGTATATAAAATTCATAGTATCATTTTGGTAGAAGATATACATAGCTAAATAATACCTGCAGCAACGCACATACATATGACTAGTATGGTTTAAGGGTAAAGTAGAAGTATGATGATTTTTAGGGTATTACACGTGTGTGTTACAAACAAATAAAAGAGGAGAGAGATAAAGGAAATATAATTTTGGTTAGCCCTCTTTTCGTTCAAGCATTTCTAGGTTAGAAATTGATCCCCACTTAGCTCATAAGGAACATATTCCTTTCATCGATGAGGTTCATGAAACCTTCTTTAGCTTCCATGAAGCTTCCTTTTGTGAAAAAAATTTGCAAAAACTATGGGAATATATGCCAATCACTTTCACTATGTCACATCTTATAATCTCCAAACTTAACAAGCCAACGGAAGAAACCAGTACTAGCTTTTATATTGCACCACCTCCAAATAATCGATGCACAAACATCTCAACACCCAAATTCTCTATTCTACCAAGTGATGGATAACCAGGATGAGTTTATCAATTATCAAGAGGAGCTCCTGCCTCCGGCAAGGGTTGCCGGAGACTTGGTGGCCCCTAGAATGGATCAGGCGCCGTGGAGGATCAACATAAGGGACGTCCAAATGGTGGAGAACTTTGTGGATACTTCTTTAGGTTCTTGTGTGTCACAAAAATGTACTGGTATGTTTATTTTTCAAATATATCCAATTCACTGATAGAAATATGAAGATAAATTCTAAAATGACTCAAATTTAAGATATTTAAGATAATATCAACTTAGGAAGTATTAAGCTTTGTCTTTTTATACACATGTGAAGTTGCATTTTTGAAGGTTGCAAATTTAGCATCATATAACAACCTAGAAAGTATTTAATCATATTACTAATAGTCTAATAGTTATTAATTTAAGAAAAATTTATTATTCCTCTTGAAGTGTAATAATAAATTATAGCTTCTAGGAATGACTTTCAATGATTTCTTGCCTCCTAATTGATTCCCTGATATTTTTTAATAATTCTCCATTTACAGTGGGAATGAACACATAATATTATCAGGTTTATTGCTTGACCTTCAGAAGCTAAAATGGTCAGTGCCCATGTTTCCTTAAAAAGGAAATTTTTTGCCATTTATTTTGTTAGTGGGTAGGGAGGTTAACTAGGGGAGAGAAAGGGAAACGATAATTGTCGTACCAGATACACGAATGTTCCTGTATGCACATGCACATAAAAATTAAATATTAATCATACTTTCGTTATTTTTACCACTACTAGCTAAGTTATTTGTCATTTCTCAATATATTTAGGTAAACAAAGCAGGATTGCAAAATATTACAAGAAGCAAGGGCAACTCTTGAAGGATTTTAGTGATATGGAGAATATTCATGAATTGGGTTGTTTAACTGGAGCTCCAACAGAGGTAATTTACTTTTTAGATATTTATTTTCTTACAACCTTTTATCTATATCCTTCAAATTGAAAAATCTAAATAAGCATTTGATCGGATTTGAACCTAAATTGACTTCAAGTGGATATACTTCATGTTGTGCGCGGCGAAAGTTCTCGAAACGACACGAACAATAACTCGAGATAAATCACAACTACTAAGTAAATCACAATCACAGCAAGAACAAACTATTTACATGGTTCGACAAGTTGCCTACGTCCACGGGACAAGGAGGGGGGAGTTCTTACTATTAGAAATCAAGAGAATACAAATAGAGTTACAAATCTCACCAATCAAACCCTAAAACAAAGCTCTAGATATCTCACAAATCTCCCACAATTGGATGCAGTAATTCTTTTCAAAAGACTGCTCAAAATCGTCCTTGCTTAATGCTAACTAATTACAATTAGAGTTACATATCAACTCAAAAACGAACCGGGTCAAAAATCAAAGTCCAGCCCAAAAACAGTCTACGGTCGACCGCGACGGGCGACCGAACCAAAAACCCGAGAGCAGAATCGATTACAGTCATGGCGTGATCGACCACGACGGTCGACCGAATCTCATCCCGAGACCAAAAAACCACCTACAGGGTACACGCGGTCGACCGCCACGGTCGACCGCCTTCAGTTCCGAATCCTACTGTCCTTCTGTGCACGTTCGCGATCGACCGCCGCTGACTCGCGGTCGACCGCCAGTCTGCCTGGCCGATTCTCCGGAACTTCCTGCTGCTTCTCTCGCCACTTCTTCAATTCTCCACCTCGGCGAATGTTTCTACCAAAACTGAGCCGACACCAAATCATCCACACTAGAGCTGAAACACGATCTCCCCCATCGAAATCAAACCGGCTGCATCTGAAAGATTGCCTACGTACCCTCTTGCCCAAGAAATCAAACCAAACGTAGTTCACCCAAATGGTCTCCAAAGACCTAAACACTGAAGAATGTTCAAAAGATTCAAACAATGACCAAATTTTACTCCTAAAATAACTTTGGTCAACATATCTGTAGGGTTGTCGTTCGTGTGGACTTTCTCCAATATGATGTCTCCATCATCCAAAACGTCACGAACAAAGTAGAATCTGACATCGATGTGCTTCGTGCGCGTACGATAAACCTGGTTTTTCACCAAATAGATAGCTGACGTGCTATTACAATATACCCGAATGGTCTCCTGTGTAATTCCCAAGTCCTCCAATAATCCACGCAATCACAAAGCCTCCTTCACAGCTTCAGTCACTGCCATATACTCCGCCTCTGTAGTAGAGAGATCCACTATGGACTGAAGTGTACATCGCCAACATACAAGTGCACCTGCTAATGTAAATGCATAACCTGAAGTGGACCGACGCTTGTCAAGATCTCTAGCATAATCTGAATCCACGTAACCAATACAATCCTGCCCATTCTTCTCATCCTTCTGGAATACCAAACCAACATCCACAGTGCCTCGAACATACCGTAGAATCTACTTCACAGCCTCCCAATGACCCTTCCCGGGGTCGTGTATGTATATTGATATCATGCTCACGGCCTGTGACAAATCTGACCTCGTACACACCATCACATACATCAAGCTACCTACTACACTGGCATATGAGACCTTCAACATGTTATCTCTGTCCTTAACTAAAACAGGCGACATCAACGCTGAAAGCTTGAACTGGGGAGCAAATGGAGTGTTAACTGCTTTTGCATTTCCATCAAAGCTGAATTTCTTCAACATCTTCTGCAAATAGCTCTTCTGTGTAAGCTTCAAACTCCCCTTCACCCTATCTCTCTCGATCTCCATACCCAATATCTTCTTTACCTCTCAAGGATCCTTCATCTCGAATTCGGATGACAGCTCCTCCTTCAACTTTCGAATAGCCGAAGAATTCTTGAAAGCAATAAGCATATCGTCAACATATAAAAGTAAATATATGTGCTCACCATCCTGTAGCTTGTGCATATAAACACATGGGTCATATGGGCTCCTCGTGTACTCATGGCTAATCATAAAGCTGTCGAATCTCTTATACCACTGTCTCGACGATTGCTTCAAACCATAAAGAGACTTCTTCAGCTTGCAAACCAAATATTCCTTTCCTGCAGCTTTGAATCCCAAGGGTTGTGTTATGTAGATCTCCTTATCTAAATCTCCGTGTAGAAAGGTTATCTTCACATCCATCTAGACCAAATCCAAATTCAACTGTGCCACTAATGCCAATAAAACATGTATCGACGAATGCTTCACAACGGGTGAAAATACCTCGTTGTAATCAATGCCCTCAAGCTGTGCATATCTCTTGACAACCAATCTGGCTTTGAATCAAATGTCCCCAATAGAAGATCCCTCCTTCTTCGCATATACCCACTTGCAACCTATAGCTCTCTTACCCTTAGGTAGATGTGCAAGTGTTCAAGTGTCGTTCTTCTGAAGAGACTGCATCTCCTCCTCCATAGCTTCCCTCCACCTGATTGAATCGGGGCTAGAATCTACCTCCCTGAATGTGGATGGAACCATATCATTAACGACCTCCACTGATAATGCATATGCGACCATGACATCATTATATCTAGCTGGCCGACGAATCACCCTCCTTGGTCTCTCTACTGCAATGGACCTCTGAACATGACCCTATTCCTAAGTCTCACCTTCCACTGTATCCTCAATCTGCCCGGTTGTCATCCTATCTCCTCCCAGTGTCACCTCTGTAGGAGCCTTGATGGATACAATGCTCTCTGGAGTGGGTGGAGTCACATCATCCTCCACCTGCTACGATATCTCAACTGTCTGGTCTCCCCTCACCCGCTGAGTGACTCGAGGCCTCATCATGTACGCCTCATCGAATGTGACATCTCTGCTAATAACTACCTTCTTATCCTATGGATCCCATAACTTGAAGCATTTAACTCCATCTCTAAATCCTACAAAGACTGCTTTCCTCACCCTTAAATTTAATTTACCATCACTGACATGGTAATAAGCTGGACACTCAAATATCCGAAGCGACTCATAGTCACTAGCCACCGAATCAAACCAACGCTCCAAAGGAGTCTTCCCGTCTATCGCAGTGCACGGCAACCTATTCATGAAATGGCTCGCATAAATCAACGCCTCGGCCCAAAAGGATCTAGGTAATCCACTCTGTATCATCATACATCGTACCTTCTCTAGAAAGGTACGGTTTAATCTCTCAGCCACCCTATTTTGTTGCGGTGTCTCTCGAACTGTGTAGTGTTTTCTGATGTCGTGATCCCGACAAAATTACAGAAACGGATCACTCTTGTACTCTCTACCATTATCTGAACGTAGAGTCTTCACCTTTCTACCTGTCTGCAACTTTACTTTCTTTTTCCACTCCACAAAAATATCCATGACCTGATGTTTATGCTTCATAGGGTATACCCAATTCCTCCTGGAATAGTCATCAATGAAAGTGACCAAATAGTTAGCCCCACCAAGAGATGTGTTCTTGGAAGGACCCCAAATATCTGTGTGAATGTAATCTAATATACCTCGAGTGTTGTGAACAGCGGTACCAAACTTTACTCTAGTCTTCTTCCTGAGTACGCAGTGCTCACACAGCTCCATCTTGTAGATCTTAGCACCTTTCAATAGCCCCTGTTTCGCCAATGACTATAGGGACTTATCACCTGTGTGTTCAAGTCTTATGTGTCATAAAGTGGTAGTGTCCTCCTCTGTAGTGATAGAAGCTGTCAGACCCCCTGTAATTGTCTTGCCCTTCAAGTAGTATAGGTTGTTTTCCCTGACTCCTCGCATCACTACCATAGAACCCTTCGTGACCTTAACTGTAGCATCCTCTAAGATCACTCTATATCCAGCTGTCTCCAAAGTCCCAAGAGAAATGATGTTCTTCGTCAACTGCGGCACGAACCTCACTTCGTTCAACTCCCTAATCACTCAGTGATACATCCTAATCCGGACTGAACCAATACCACCAATAGGGCATACGTGGTCATTACCCATAGCATGACATCCCCACTTTTCAGCTTCTCAAAGATAGAGAACCAATCCCTCCTAGGGCATATGTGATATGTAGCTCCCGAATCCATCATCCACTCCGTGGAATCAGCATACCAAACCGACGGTAGTGCAGGACACGAGTAGCCTGAAGAATCTGAATCTGAATGCTCACCAATAGCTTTTGCAACATTCGCTTCTGAAGCTTGTGCAGCTTTCCTTTTGTTCTTCCCGAATTTTTCTTTCCACTTTGGGCAGTCAATCTTCCAATGTCCTTCTTCTTTACATTACCGATATTGATTTCTACCAACACTCTTATAGGCACTTCTATTCTTTGACTTTGAGCGGTTGAACTGGCGGCGGTTTGGATCACGTCCTCGAACAGCTAATGCATCTCCTGATGCCTTCTCGGAGGGTTCAACATCACTCTTCCTCAACTCATAATTCACCAAAGCTGAGATCACCTCATTATAGCTAACTGTAGTTCTTCCATTGATCATAGTTAGAACAAACGTACTATAATCATCCTTAGGTAACGAACACAAAAGTAACATCGCCTTGTCTTTATCTTCAACTCTGATGTCCACATTGTCCATATCTGAAAGTAACTTCGTGAAATTGTTGACATGCTCCCTGATGAAAACTCCCCTTTTCATTTTAAACTGGTAGAACCTCTTCTTCAAATAAAGCCGATTCTCAATGCTCTTCGTAAGATACTTCTCATTGAGTGTCTCCCACATCTTCTTCGCCGACGTCTCGTTCATAACATCATAAATAAGATCCGGCGTCAAGCATGACCTAATAACACCACAAGCTCTACTGTTCATCTTCCTCCAAGCCTTATCCTCTATATCATCGGGTTTCTCTTTTAACTCAAGAGTCTCCTTCAAATTCTGTACATCCAATGCGTCCATCACCTGACACCTCCACAATCTGAAATTGATCTTGCCATCGAACTTCGGAATATTAATCTTCGTGTTATTAATGCTCAGACTCTGTATCGTCTTCGTAAGAGACGAACCCGATGTGCTTGCTTCTCCCATGTTGTCGATCTAACTCTTCAGATAGGAATCTTTACTGAATCCTTCGAACATGCCTAAAGCTCTGATACCAATTGTTGTGCGCGGTAGAAGTTCTCGAAGCGACACGAACAATAACTCGAGATAAATCATAACTACTAAGCAAATCACAATCACAGCGAGAATAAACTATTTACGTTATTCGGCAAGTTGTCTACGTCCACGGGGCAAGGAGGGAGGGAGTTCTTACTATTAGAAATCAAGATAATACAAATAGAGTTACAAATCTCACCGATCAAATCCTAAAACAAAGCTCTAGATCTCTCACAAATCTCTCACAATTGGATGCAGAAATTCTTTTTAAAAGACTGCTCAAAATCGTCTTTGTTTAACCCTAATTAATTACAATTAGAGTTATATATCAACTCAGAAACGAACCGGGTCAAAAACCAA